TTGTTGATCGTTATAAACTAATGAAAGATAATGAAAAAGAAAGGTTTCGTAATGAAGTGGAGAAAATTGTTGATGGCGAACCCGCAGGTGGTGCTAGTATTCTGAATATTTTGAGAAAAATTGTAGATGACTCTTTCAAAAATTACTTCGAAAGTTTGTTCACCAAAACTGCAGATACGGCAGAGAAATCAAAACAAAAAGAGGGCGAAAAGAAATTTAAAGTTGGATTTAAAGTGCTGACTAGAAGAGATTTAGATAATGACAACGATATGAAAAACGAGATTGACGACATTAAAGTACCAACGACTTTGTCGGAATCACACGAGTAGGTAAATATTGGTATAAAATGGCACATATTTAAATGATCATCAAAAATAGTAATACGTCCTTGTTTAGTATCCCAAAAAGGAGTTCGAACTAACTGAATGAATCAAACCACTACACACTGTTCCAATTGCTTTAGACGGGGAGCATTTATTGCTTCTACATAAAATAAGTACTTATGTTTACATAAAAACTAAACGATAGCGCGATTCAATAGACTATTCCTGCCATCTAGTATACAAAATGTTAATCTGATTCTTAACCGTCCTCAAAAAAAAACACAATTGGTAACCTATAGTGCGTTTCATCAAATAGTTCCTATGCCGTCATGTTGGTTAACAATTTAACAAAGCAATTTGATTGGTTAACAAGTTAACCAGAAGAGATGTCATAACGTGATTGGTGATGACACGTTGACAGATAGGAATGCCAACATGACGGCATAGGAACTATTTGATGAAACGCATTTTAACATAACCTAGAAGCCTTTAGGCATAGAGCAACGCAGCCAGGAGGGGAGTCTGCACTCACAGCGTTCACCTCTGTCGATTTTTCCCTGCTGTTTTGGCCAGCTCGAAAACAAAACTAAGTTTCGCTCGGATATTTCACTATACTGAGACAAGTCGTGCGAGTGTATGTTAGAGATTAAAAATGCCAAATGTAATGTATGTAATTAGCTGTATAACATAGGTATCCTGAATAAATTAAAATTCACATAAAACTAGAATTATTAACATAATATTTCTATTTAACCACTTTTAAACACAAAATTCATATTATTTCGTTACAATTCAATCGTCGGACTTGTTTGACAAAACCATAGACTCGGCAAATTTCGGGTCTGTCAATAAAAAATCTTAAGTGTATCATTGGCGCCGAGTGAGTTGTGTTTGTCGTAATAACGATATCGTTTTTGCGAAAGTACGTTGGACTGCATTTGTGTGCATATTCCCCCCCCCCCCCCCCCGCAAAAAGCGGGAATGATAACAATAATAAATCAATGATTTCAATAAAAAATTGTTTTATTTCTTCACCATACATCTGTTTGCATAGATAAAGGTAGGCTCTTTTTTTTTAAATGTAAAGACACCTGTACCAAAAGGAAGCACTTTTCCATAGCATGAGTTACGTTATGATAAGGTTATTCACTTTTTTTTATGTTATAGGGGGCATACGAGCAGACGGCTCACCTGATGGTAAGTGATCACCGTCGCCCATGGACACTTGCAACACCAGGAGTATCATCAGTTTTTTTGAAGGTTCTTGGGTCGTATTGGTCCGGAAACACTGCTGGCGACAACATATTCCACAGTTTTGTCGTACGTGGTAAAAAATTGCGACAAAAACGCACGGTTGTGGATAGCTGATAGAAGATGATGGGGATGAAATTTTTGTCGCGATGTACGATGGCGAAATGCAGCAGCTGGAATTAATCCGAACAATTCCTCAGAACACTCCCCGTGATAAATGCGATAGAAGATGCAGAGCGAAGCTACATCCCTACGCAAAGCCAAAGGATCAAACTGATCGGAAAGGTCCTGCTCGTCGACGATTCGAGCTGCTCGGCGCTAGATGCGATTCCAAAGGGAGAAGCTGGTACTGGGGTGCCCCCGCCCAAAGATGAGAGCAGTACTCCATGTGAGGCCGAACCTGTGCCTTATAAAGCTGCAGTCGGTGGGCCGGTGTGAAGTACATTCTCGATCTATTGAGCACACCAAGCTTCTTAGAGGCCAATTTGGCCTTGCCCTCTAAATGATCCCGAAACTGGACGTTGCTTATTTATGATTAAAAATATTATAGTGTAAGTTACACCACAGAGCTAGTTAAAGTTAAATTTTACTAAAAGTTTACCGTGACCTGATATGGGTATGTGTATGTGTGTACGTGTGTTTGTGCATATCACACTAATATTATAAAGGTGAAAGTTTGTGAGTGTATGAGTATGTGAGTATGTATGTTTGTTACTTCTTCACGTCTAAACGGCTGGAGCGATTTTAATAAAATTTGGTATGGAGTTAGCTGACACCCTAGATTCACACATAGGCTACTTTTATCCCAGTAAGGATGTGTGAGTTTATTTGCGGGATAGGTGTTGTATTATATATAATGGTAGGGGAGCCCAAGCGGGGATTTTTGGATTTACTCGAGCGCGGCAGAATAACATATGGGAAGCAACCTTGCACGTAGTTAAGTATTCCCACCATACCTGAGCCCTCTATGTAGGGCCGAACGTCTAGGGCAGCAAAAACAAAATTTCAACCAACGGCCATGACTTTTGGTCGCGTCCAAATCGTCAGTCTTTTGAATAGGAGCTACGGGAGGGTTCACGTAACATCCCTTTTCAATGTCTGACGCGCTCGGTTATTTTTTTCTATATTCTACCCCTTCGTACGGCCACCCCCATTTCATGCAAACCGCGGCAGATCAATATTTTTTCCGTTCTTAGCAACGTTACATGAACCCTCTAGTAGCTTATATTATAAAGTCTGACGATTTGGGCGCGACCAAAAGTCATGACCGTTCGTTGAAATTTTGTTTTTGCTGCCCTAGACGTTCGGCCTTACATAGAGGGCTGAGGTATGGTGGGAATACTTAACTAGATGCAAGGCTGTTCCCGATATGTTATTTTGCCGCACTCGAGTAAATCGAAAAATCCACGCTTGGGCTCCCCAACGTTTAGATAGAAGGGGAATAAAATAAAATATAAAATTTAAAAATCAGTCGAAATTGCTTTAATACTTTTCCTAAGTTACTTACAAAATTAAATCATTTTCCGTTATGCATAATATAATTTCCTTTTTAGTCACACTTTTAAGTACACAAAATGCATTTACATTTATTTAAAATGGGTATCAATATTTATCTTTTACTTTAAGTGAGTTATAGTAATTAAATACATCTTACATTAATGAGCATATATATAAAATTATCGTGTCACAATGTTAGTTACCATATTACTCCTCCGAAACGGCTTGACCGATTTTTATGAAATTTTACATGCATATTCAGTAGGTCTGAGAATCGGCTACTATATATTTTTCACACCCCTAAGTGATAAGGGTGATAAAAAAATAGAAATGTCCTAAAAAATGTTAGGGGTGGACCAACGATATTAAATACCCTAGATACACCAACACGAACAAAATCATGCCCGAAACCTGTCCAAAAGGTACATTGGACGATCCACGGAGCTCCATAAGATGATCGCGTAGTGTAAACATTGAAAATCTTATTTAAAGCATACTGTAAAAAGTCTTAATTAAAACGCATGCGTCAAAAACTTATGACAGTCCGAAACGCAAGCTCGTAAAATTGTACGACTTATTGCTATATGCGGAAGAATATAGACCTTATTTCTTTGATTCTACGCGCAATCTGAATGCGCTGTTAGCAATATAGCAGGTACGGACCGCAAGGAAAAGAAACGGATATATTACCGACCATGCTTTTGAATGTCACAATGTCAAATATTTTCTATTAAATCAGTTTATAGTAAGTATTAAAACAAAATCTGCTTCAAATGCGTTAAATTAACAAATATTGATCAGACACCTGTCGATAAAACGACATTTTACATACTATAAGTATTTATTTCGCATTTTTTCACGGAGCTCAGCGGCATGTTGACTTTTCAACGGTCCGCGCGTGACTGTGAACCAAGAAGTGCTCGAGTAGTGTTCAAGCACTTCTTGATAGGGACACATTTTGAGCGCACGTGGTGTATCTAGGGTATTTAATATCGTTGGTAAATACAATTAAAATTAATCAATTCATTTCTCTATTCGTGCCCTGACATAAGAATCCCTGTCATGCGTTTTTCAATCAGCACTCGTTCTCGAGCATGACGTTTGAGCAGCCTACATTTTCACCTATCTATCATCCTTGCCTATCTCACCTATACACACGCACAAACACACACGAATAAACACAATCCGACTTATTACAAAACGCAGACTAAGTTAAAACTGGACTTAAACTGATGCTTCCACTATTGTTTGCTACAAAGAGGACAGGTACAACATTAGGGTTTAAACCTTGACAAACTTTAGGCCGCGTTTCGGAATAAGGGAGGAATCTCTTTCGCTAGCAGCACCCGTTCCCGAGCATGACGATTAAGCGTGTCACTTTTGTTTGCCAAAAAAGACGACAGATACAACATTTGGGTTTAAACTAAGACAAACTGTAGTCCGCGTTTTGGAATAAGGGGGAATCTCTTTCGCTAGCAGCATCCGTTCCCGAGCATGACGATTAACCGTGTCACTTTTGGTTGCTAAAAAGACGACAGATACAACATTTGGGTTTAAACTAAGACAAACTGTAGTCCGCGTTTCGGAATAAGGGAGGAATCTCTTTCGCTAGCAGCACCCGTTCCCGAGCATGACGATTAACCGTGTCACTTTTGTTTGCTAAAAAGACGACAGATACAACATTTGGATTTAAACTAAGACAAACTGTAGTCCGCGTTTTGGAATAAGGGGGAATCTCTTTCGCTAGCAGCACCCGTTCCCGAGCATGACGATTAAGCGTGTCATTTTTGTTTGCTAAAAAGACGACAGATACAACATTAGGGTTTAAACCAACACAAACTGTAATCCACGTTTTGGTATGCGGGGGGAATCTCTTTCGCTAGCAGCACCCGTTTCCGAGCATGACGCTTAACCATTTCCTATCCCTGTTCACATAACGAACCCTCTGTCCGGCGAGTACTGTAATACCGCGCCTGGGCGGTAAGGGTCCATCGCGCCTTCTGCTGGTACATCTACGGGCTTATCTTCTTTTCTCTTCTTGGTCGAATTATAACGTTTAGATTTTATATTTGAGTGTACCTGCGAGATGAAAATAATATATAATAAATAAATATTACCAACACTCACACCAATTAGCCTAGCCCCAAAGTAAGCACTGTAGGCTTGTGTTATGGGATACTAGGATAACGGATAGAATACATATACTGTACATATATAAGTATATTTATATAGAAATACATGTTTAACATCCATGACTGGAATACAAATATTCTGAGAAATTTCTTCTAAAATAGACCTTTGTTATTTATTGTAACCAACGATATTAAAAAAAAACGAGTGTGCTTATGACCACACGACTGAAGTGAAACTTCTTTAGCTCCATCTGTATGTATGTATATGTGTGTGTATGTACAATATATACATGTATGTACATATACATATTTCATTTACTAGCTATAAGAGACAGAGAGAAAGAAAATGTGCGCGCGCACAGCCTTCTCTTGCTTATATCCCCCACTCAACTCCCGTTCGCCTCGCCCGTATCTATCTGTATATATATACATACATACAGATGGAGATAAAGAAGTTTCATTTCAGTCGTGTGGTCATTAGCACACTCGTTTTTTTTTCTAGTAATATTTTCTTTACATTTAAACATCGAGCACACATGCTTAAAATAAAACTTATAACTATAAATAAGTGTGTTTACCTGTCTATTGTGTTTGTATAGATTAGACTGTTGAGAGAACGTGGTAGGACAAAATTCGCATATAAACGGCCTCTCGCCCGTGTGAGTTCTGATGTGAGATTCCAGCTGCAATTTAGTCTGTGGAACATAAAAATTTGGTGTTGATTCTGGTATGATACTCTAAACTTGAAACATGATTTAACATCAGCCTTTCTTTTTCATTCTGTATAGAGAATGACAAGAATAGAACATAGAAAGAGGTTAGAAGGGCCTTGTGGGCGGGGCAGGTGCGCCACAGTTATGTGTCAGTATATGCTCATAAGTTGACCAAAACTTGGTTCTGATTGCGTCTACGCTGATTGGTTCGATTGTTTGATGTCGTGCCGTTTGATTGGCTATTTCCTATTAGGTGGTAGTGTAGTGGGGGCGAGCCGGCGACATCGGTTCCCGTAAAAAACAGTCTACGATCACCCTCCTAACCTCTTTCCGTGTTCTATTATTGGATATCTGTTTATAGCTTGGGTATGTACACAAATTTAACAGAGAATTTAAAACCGAGTTTGCCAAAGAGGTGACAGACTGAATAATCCTTTGTATTACGCTGGCACTTTGCATGGCTATTCTCATTTGATATTTGTTTATTTCAAAGCAGTCTCTCCTTTTCAATGCCTACAGTGATGATAAGGATATACTGATAAGCTCACAAATAGCAAACAACATTACACAAAGAAATTTATTTTTTTTTTTTTTTTTAAAAAAAAAAAAAAAAAAAATTAAATTCGGTAGGGGTTACAATAAATTGAATTTTAAAGCGCCACATCAAGTTTAAATACATATTTTTTTTCCATTACACACCAACTTGCCTAGCCCCAAAGTAAGCACTGTAGACTTATGTTATGGGATACTAGGGTAAAAGATTGAATACATATACTGATACATATATAAGTATATTTATATAGATATACATATTAAATATCCACGACTGGTGTACGAATGCTCGTATTCATCACACAAACATCTGCCCCCACCGGGATTCGAACCCGGGACCTCTCGAGTAGGCGATACCTTGAAACTCGGGGTACAAACCACTCGGCCTAGGAGGTCGTCGTTTGAGAACATTTCCTTTAGGCATAGACATGTTATCTATACTCACGGGAAACCCTTTGATGGCACATCCATATATATATACATGTATAAATGTCTTATATGTATATGTAGATGGTGTATGTATGTATTTACTAATATATCATATATTTTACTGCGATTTACGCCGCCGTCTCTCCCACTTCCTTCCAAAGTAATCCTCTCCATCCAAAAGTTGCCTGGAAGAGATCGCTTTAATATCGCTTAAAGCGATCTCTTCCAGGCAACTTTTGGATGGCCGCTTTGGATTGGCCGCTTATTGCATCACTTGTACTAGATGGTTTTGTGCTTAATGTTCAATGTTTTTCTGGGTGTGTGTTCCCTTAAACATAGACATGTTATCTATACTCAGTGCCGTCTTTAACCTATTAGAGGCCCTAGGCATATTAGGATAATGGGGCCCCTATGACTTTGACGTGGATTATGACTTGAAATGGAGCGAGTTATACTGATGAGTGTACTACTGATGATTTTTCTTTAAAATGTGTATGTGCTTAGCATACCATTATATGTATATTTAAATTTATCTAAGCATGCTGAAGTCGGTAAGCCTAATTTTTAGGCGACAGTAGAATATCGCTTATGTAAAAGCTAGTAAGTTGGTGTTGTAGTCAGTAATTTAGGTTCGATTTCATCGAATTATGTAAGTTTTTTGGTAATAAATATTGGTTATCGTTTGGTGATGTGACAGGAACTAGGTATTTGATCTGAGGGGGCCCCCTATCGATCGCGGAGCCCTGGGCACTTGCCCAAAGTGCCCACTGGGAAAGACGGATCTGTCTATACTCACGGGAAACCCTTTGCCGCAGTGATGGCACATCTTGTTGTTGGGCCTGCCTTTATGCACGTTCCTGATGTGTTGGTCGAGGCCCACGCGGTTTTTAGACGGCTGCGGCAATAAAATGACTAGTTTATTTTTTTATATTTTTCAATTATTTAAGCATGAAACTGCTAATACAATAACCACAGAAAAATAGCAATAGGCAATGATTATACAATTATAGTCTTTAACGGAAGAACTAAAAGGTCTAATTTTGGTAATATTTTTATTTTTTAAGCATTGAACTGCTAGATGCTTACATCTAAAGAAAATTTAACTAGAAAAAAATTCACGCGGACCAGGCAGACGGGACTCGAACCCGCACCCTCCGCTGTCCGGGCGAACGCACTGACCATTATGCTACCGCGGCCCTGACGGCCATGTCGAATTTTCTCTAGGCTTAGGCTGCAAGGCAGCACCGTCTTTGTGCATGGTAGTAACCCATAATGTCAAATGAATACCTTTACAAGTTTTGAACATTTGAAAGAAGCAATCAGCTGTCTTGTAGATTATGAAAGGCTATAGAAAATCGACACAGCCATGAGAGCTGAGGTATTTTAATGGTCAGTGCATTCGCCCAGATAGCGAAAGGTGCGGGTTCGAGTCCCGTCTGCTGCCTGGCCCGCGTGGAATTTTTTCTAGTTAAATTTTCTCTAGATTTAAAGTTTAAATAAATTGCCAGTCATTGTTGTCGATTCCGACATGTCTCTCTTAACCTAAACTTAAATTTGACAACAGCGTATCCTTGTCATTCTCTATAAAGAATGAAAAGGAGAGACTGATGTTAAATTTTGTTTTAATTTTAGACAAACATACCAGAATCGACAACAGTGGAGTCGATTCAGCCGGCCTAGCTTGAGCACCGTGATATGATATATAACGCTTTTTTATCACGCCTTATTGTCAAATTACTATGGAGTTTGACAGATAAACACGATAAAAACCAGGGGGCCAATCGCCTAACTGGATTGCTTTGGAAAACGCTATCGCTTACGATTTCATTTTGTTATTTCTAGCCGCCTGAGGTTTTCAAATGCCTCGCGCTCTTTTTTTCTTTTGCATTGGTAATAGCAATGTTAAAGAAAATGAGCGTGAGGTATTTGTTAACCTGCGGCGGTTAGAAATAACAAAATGAAATCGTAAGCGATAGCGTTTTCCAAAGCAATCTGGTTAGGCGATTGGCCCACTGATGAAATGAACCTGATTTATGAGTACAAGTAGATGAAGTTAGTTGAATAATGCACAAATTTTAAATTAGCGCACAAAAGCCCGCTTTTATTGAGACAACTTATCGATCGCAGCGCCTCACTCATTTTGTCCATATTTCTGGGACACTATTTTCTACAACGATCGTTCTCCTTCCCTCTAACCTCCATGGTTTAGAGCAGTGATTCCCAAAGTGGTCTATATCGACCCCTAGGGGTCTATGGCAACCGGCAAGGGGTCTACGTCAGCGAAAAAAATCAATATCAGGTAAGTAGGGGGTCTACCCAACACGGAAAAACATGGCAAGGGGTCTACGACACAAAAAAAATGGTAGGGAAAAAAAAAATTTTGGACGATTCAAAAGAGTTGTACTATACATCCAATTTGAATAAAGATATATTGATTTCTGATTTCTGAAAAGTTTGGGGAACTCTGGTTTAGAGAATGATGCCAAAATCGACATCAATTGAGAGCTTAGGCATTTCATTCAGAGTCCTTTCACATTTTTTGCAAAATATCGTAATTTTGAGCGCATCGTTTACACTTACAAACTTAGGCCTTTATAATATTAGTGCGAATGGATGCCGCTCAGCCGACAATTGTAGAAGTTAATCAACTTTCGCAATGGCCGTTCACATGATGGGTGACCAAGGGTGTTTCTGACTCACCTTCAAGCATATGTGGCAATGGTAGGTCTTGTGCAAGTGTTTCTCTTCGATGTGGTCCCGCAGTTTAGTTTTGTCGGCGAAACGTCGTTTGCAATGATCGCAAACGTATCTGTGTACAAACAGCCATGGGTCACATACAAAAGCTCGGTAATATGAGCCTTGATTTAATAACATTTATCTATGATTTTATTTATTTTTTAAGCATTTAACTGCTAGATGTTTAAATCTAAAGAAAAGTTTACTAGAAAAAAATCCACGCGGACCAGGCAGCGGACGGGACTCGAACCCGCATCCTTCGCTATCCGGATTGACACTGTGGGTTACCTACAATGTGAAGAGATGGCGCTGCCTTGCAGCTTAAGGCTAGGAAAATTTCAATGCGGCTAATAGGGCCGTGGTAGCATGGTCAGTGCATTCGCCCGGATAGCGAAGGATGCGGGTTCGAGTCCCGTCCGCTGCCTGGTCCGCGTGGATTTTTTTCTGGTAAACTTTTCTTTAGATTTAATCATTTATCTATTTATTATACTCGGAGAAGCTCGATGGTGCGGGTGGTTAGCGCGTTCAGCTGCGATCGTTGAACTTAAGCAACTTTCGCAGTGCTCGGTCATTGGATGGGTGACCAAAAATCTTCTATCTCTAGTTCCTCCGTGCTTCGAAAGGCACGCTAAGCGGTTGGTTCCGGCTGCATCTGCAGTCGTTAGCACCCGCCAATCCGCACTGGGCCCGCGTGGTGGGTCATGGCCCAATCTCCCTATTCCATCCATAGGGAAAGCCTGTGCCCCAGCAGTGGGGACATTAATAGGCTGATGATGATGATGATTTATTTATTTATTTATTATACTCGGAGGAGCTCGATGGCGCGGGTGGTTAGCGCGTTCGGCTGCGATCGTTGAAGTTAAGCAACTTTCGCAGTGGTCGGTCATTGGATGGGTAAAGTATATTAAAAAATAAAAGACGGGTAGCATTCCAGGAGTGCCGGCAGAAGTGAAAACTTGAATATTAACGTTGTGCATTTTTGATATTATGGAATGGTTAGGGAATAAGTTTGCACGAATTGCTTTGATTGTCAATATAAAAGTACTATCTGTATGTGGTAGAATACAATATTTATTTATTGCGCTATCGTACACAAACATGACAATTTATATTACATTAAAAAAGTTTATCTCTCAGAAAAATCAACTTACATGCATCACGTTTAAGCGCACTTAGCGACATCTATTGTAAAGAAATCAACTTACATGAATCACATTTAAGCGCATCTAGCGACATCTATTGTAAAAAAAATACATTTTCTTCGCAATAAAGCTGCCACGTGGACGTCCTACATAGAGACTTATTATTATAATACGGTAAAATAAAATAATACTATGTTTCGTCCAATATATTGAAAGTCAACAACCTTTGCAATTTTATTGTGTGTCATGTTGCGATCAGCCCACGTGTTTAACCTGACGCGAGTTTAACATTTTTTACCCGTACAAAAAAAAGTGTACAATGCCGCTAAAAAAGTTTTCACTTCAAAAAAACGTTATAAAAAGCCTCCTAATTCTCTAGCATGAAAACTGAGTTATGATAAGGTCGGTCTCTACTTTTTTCTACGAAAAAATCCGTGAAATAACCAATTATAACCATCTCTATGGGTCAGAACTGAAAATCAGCGATTTACTCTCGGAGTAAATGTTACGCTGAGTTTTCGCCCATTCGCATCGCTGCTGCACACGAAAATATCAGTATTTTTGTATAAATATAATTTGTTATATTTTTAAAGGATTTATATAATTGTAAAATTTGTATTCAATTTTGTATGTGTGCATGTTGGTGTGAATAAAGTTTTATCTATCTATCAATTAATAAGAGACTTAATTAAAATTGGTCTTTGCTCTTCTGCGATTCTCTTAATATACGTGTTACCAAGTTGTGCACATCAGTCTCAGAAAGCAAAAACATTGTTTGGCATTTCTGTGCGAGACGGAACGCACCAAGTTAAGGTTCGACTCAGTCACCAATCCGTATGGTGCTACATGACGCGATATCAAAATCGACGTTGCCATTGGGCGCAAAAATATTGTTCCCAACCCCTCTTCCTCGAATTAGGTAACAGTATTATTTTGAATACAATATACGCTATTAGACTTTCAAAGATATCACATCCATTATTTATCATTTGACGACCGCCTTGGCCGAGTGGTTTGTACGCCGGGTTTCATGGTGTCGCCGACTCGAGAGGTCCCGGGTTCGAATCCCGGTGGGGGCAGATGTTTGTGTGATGAATACGAGCATTTGTACTCCAGTCATGGATGTTTAATATGTATTTCTATATAAATATAATTATATATGTACAGTATATGTATTCTATCCGTTACCCTAGTATCCCATAACACAAGCCTTATAGTGCTTAGCTTGGGGCTAGGCTAATTGGTGTGAGTAAAAAAAAAAAAAAAATTTAAATATCCAAAATCTTAGTCTTAAAAACTCTGCAGCTAAGCTATACGAAAACTAAGTACCGGTGGTCGCTATCCGGCACAACATTGTTCATGGAAACAAATATATGTAGTGAAACAAAGTTTTGCGTAGACGATTTTGTTGAATGTTGATATATTTTTGAGGAGCTCGATGGCGCAAGTGATTAGCGCGTTCGGCTGCGATCGTTGAAGTGCAGCAACTTTCGCAGTGGTCGGTCATTGGATGGGTGACCAAAAATTTACTATCTCGAGCTCCTCCGTGCTTCGGAAGGCACGTTAAGGCGTTGCTCCCGGTTGCATCTGCAGTCGTTAGCACCCACCAATCCGCACTGGGCCCGCGTGGTGGGTCATGGCCCAATCTCCCTAATCCATCCATAGGGAAGGCCTGTGCCCCAGCAGTGGGGACATTAATAGGCTGATGACGATGATGATGATGATATATTTTTGTTGATTGTGTAGGGCAAATGCTACAAATAATCGTCACGGCCATTAGGGCCGCGTTAGCATAATGGTCAGTGCATCCGCCCGGATAGCCGAAGGTGTGGGTTCGAGTCCCGTCTGCTATCAGGCCGGAGTGGATTTTTTTTCTAGTAAAATTTTCTTTAGACGTGCCCCCAGATAGTATGACCTCATATCCTGTGTGACCGATATCGAAATTGAAATCGTGTTTTTTTATTCTATGCCTGTATTTTGTACGGGTGATACGTTTATTTCAAGCGTTTTTAAATTCTAAAGAAAATTTTTACTAGAAAAAATCCACGCGGACCAGGCAGCGGACGGGACTCGAACCCGCACCCTTCGCAATCCGGGCGAATGCACTGACCAATGAGGGCTATCGCGTATGAATCCGCCGCTAGAGGCGCTAGTGTAGCGTGAGGTCTCCGAAATGTCAAATGTTATTGCTTGTTGGTTGACTACGCGGGTTTATTTCTTATTAAAATAATGTTGTGAATAATTGGTAACAATTCGGCTTAATTATGGCAAATATGAGTTATGTGGCAATGAATGTCAGTTATTAAAATTTTGAGCTTAGAAAAATGATTGTTCCCATTTTTTCCGAATAAAACGGAACTGGGCGTCACTGTGGCATGGCCTATTATGTTTAGGATATGGTTCTTTTGTGTTAAAATACGATCTAAATGTAACCTTTGATTTCATGTGCGTATTAATAAACTTTAAAAGTTACAATTTAGGACCTCACTCAACAGTGGCGCCATCTGGTGAGACAGAAAACGGTAGCCCTCATTATGCTACCACGGCCCTGATGGCCGCGATGAAATTTTCCTTAAGCTGCAAGGCAGCGCCATCTCTTCGCATTGTAGGGAACCCAAACTCTTCGGTCTCCTGTGACTACTTATATGTTACCTGAGTTGTTCCTGTGTGACATGTCGTAGACTGTTCCTCATGTGTCGCTGGTAGGAACACACCGACGCGAAAGTAACGCCGCAAGTGTTGCAATACGCCGCCGTTGAAGACTTGTCCTAGTAACAAAATAGAAGATTGTCAGTGTCCGTGATGCTAGCGTACCCACGATCAATATACGGTTTTTCGTTATGCCATTAAATACTGCGTAAATAGTGCCAAATTAGTGTAAAAATAAAAAAAAAGCACTATTTGACACACTATTTATACATATAGAATTGATAACGAGAAAAGTTCATTTTCTATGAAAACTATTATGGGTACGCCAGGTTGACGCCAGCTAAGAATGTTTAGTTCAATATCTCTGGTCCTTTAAGAGTATTGATTATGAAATTTCGTAAAGCCAGGGCACTATTTGCGAACTATTTTTGTGTGTCAATTTCGTTGCTTAAATATATGCCGTTCTTGGGGTCGGCCATGGGTACGCTAGCTTGACGTCATGGTAGCGTACACAGTAAAAATGGTCTTTATTTCTTAAATTAAAGAGGCACCATTTTTTTTATTTTTACACTAATTTGGCACTATTTACGCAGTATTTAATGGCATAACGAAAAACCGTATATTGATCGTGGGTACGCTAGCATCACGGACACAGATTGTCATATTTGAACGTGAACCCAGTAGCTTCTATTCAAAAGACTGACGATTTGGACCCGACCAAAAGTCATGGCCGTTTGTTGAATTTTTTTTTTTGCTGCCCTAGACGTTCGGCCCTACATAGATGGCTCAGGTATAGTGGGAATACTTAACTAGGTGCAAGGTTGCTCCCCATTTGTTATTCTGCCGCGCTCGAGTAAATCCAAAAATCCCCGCTTGGGCTCCCCTACTATAATGTTAGGTAATTTAAGCAATCAAGTTCAAGGGCGGATCCAGGGGGGGGGGTCATGGGGGTCATGACCCCCCCCTGGGCTGGGTACAGATGGACCAAACCCAGGGGGATTTTATTTAAGTACTTTCAATATTTAATATACCACGACTATATGACCCCCCCCTGGGCCAAAGCTGGGTATATGACCCCCCCCTGGCGCTAAAGCTGGATCCGCCCTTGATCAAGTTTCACTTCAAATGTGTGGTCCGTGCACACTTTTTTATTTTTTTTATATGAATCATTTAATTTTATTCTATTGACAATACCTTAACTGTTTAATGGACAAATCACCTATCTCTTTTTCTAATTAATAACACTTATCTGCCTCCCGCCTGCCCTAAGGCCTTGGTAACTCACTATATATTACCTTCAGATCATGTTTCTCGAGATGTCTCTTGAGGCTGGTTTTCCAGCGGAACACCTTGTCGCATACAGTGCAGGGAAACGCGTTGTTCAACTCGTGGACAGACCTTGTAATAATATGTCATCATCAGCCTATTAATAAATCTTTCTATACTTCATCATCATCATCATCATCATCATCATCATCAGCCTATTAATGTCCCCACTGCTGGGGCACAGGCCTTCCCTATACTTATCAATACTATTTAAGAGAGGTTGGGTGTATAGGTTATACAATAGGGATGACGACTAATTTTTGAAGGTATACTTCTTTAGACGCGTTATGAAAAAATGATGAGAGTGAAATTTTAAGATGCGCGCGCATCACTGTAACACAAAATTTTAACAGCATGCGTTACTTTTGTGTTTACCGCACATTAAGAAAATCTACCAACAAAATAGAAATAGAATCTCTATTTTGTGGGTGCTAACGACTGCATTGTGAAGGCCTATCAAAAGTATTTATTAATCTGGAACAACGGAACCAAAGCGCGATTCAGGAGACTACAGCGCCATCTCTTGACCATTGGTGTAGTAGAACCAAAAACCACATCTTTATTTTTTGTAATAAAGTAACAGTTATAGGTATTCATATTTATAATATTTATCCACATGTTTCTAGTTTGTATATTCGGAATACGTGTTTGAGTTTCATACAAGTGCAAATCACATATGTTCTAATAAATTATATTCAGTAGCAATTTTAATTGAATATTTTGATTATTTATTTATTTTTTTAAATTAAAACTGAACTTTATTGACTGTGTCCTTTTCCAGACTTTTTATTAATTTATTGTAATTAATTATTTGCATGCAATTAAAAACTAATTTTAAACGATGCCAAAGAAGGATAACTTCTCACGCGCCTACATAAGTACACGCACCCATTTTTTTTTCTTCGTTTATCAGGTAGATTATCAAAAAGTATTGGACACGTATTTTTTCTTTTCTCACATAATATAAACATTGCAGAGATAATATTGATTTGAAAAGTCGCATGACGTCACGTTTTGGTACAATTTTCACATAAAAGTGACGTCACGAGCCCCTACTCCCAAACTTTGACGCGCTATAACTCTGTCATTTTTTGGTTGATTGCCCAAAGAAAAAATACGTGTCCATTATTTTTTGATCATCTAACTGACGGACTAAATAAAATTTCGTTTACACTGTACCCCGTCATCACCCCTATTAGATTAAAACAAAAGGGGAAGATACGGCACTCGCGGCTCAAAAGTGATCCGCTTAAATTGTGGTACACGACCACAATTCGCTTTAGTCACAATTGGACATTCATACACGCTGCATGTGCACTCGATATAACAATATTACGTATATTCCGTGTTATAAAGGTAAAACAATAGGGTATTTGACAGTATTAAAAATAAAGCGCCAATTGTTGGCATCTAGTGTTTAAAATGAATATTAGCAGGAGTTTTTACTATTTTAACAAAAAAAAAATCATAATTTTATTAAAAACCCACGAAAAAGATAATAGTTTTCTTATCTATTGTCACGTGACCCAAAACGGTTGGGATTGGCGGAGCCTAAAATGACGTCACACGCAAGTAAACTTTCGGATAAAGTGACATTACCTTGTATCGTTTGACGTTTTAATGACAGTCGTGTGACGTCACACACTAGTAAGACGCCATATTGTCCAGAGAAACGTTTGATTTGGTTATTTCTACTGAAATGCACAACATAATGATGAATATCCACTTTTTGCGGGCTCCATAAACATCAGTCAATAACGTGAGATCATTTTTCTAAAACTTGTCATATACCCTATTCCATCGATGCTTTTATAAGGAACACAAATAGTTCAACATCAAATAACAAATGCCTCGGCAACACTTTAGATTGTCTCGCTCGCTCGATTGAATGTTTATATACAGACGTGTGCGTGTGTGAGAGTTGCTTATGTAGTTGAGTCGGATCATATTTTATCTGATGCTAGTGTTAGCGACGCGCTCATACATTTTTTTATTTGTAATTTTTATATTATTATTTTTGAAGTATTTCTATATTTTTCTGTAACGTTGCCTGCGAGCACTACGCAGCGGCTTCCCGCCGCCAGTCTGCGATTTACGTTCGACGACACCTCACGTCACCTTGTGTTCAATAATTTCCATGTGCTTTGCAATATACAGTCTGTAACCCGGATTTGCGCATTTCAAAATTCAAAATTCAATATCGTTTATTCAGTCTAGGCTGTTACAAGCACTTGTGATTGTAGAAAAGCTACGCCATCGGTTCGCAAATCTACGGCGGGAGACCTTGTACTGAGAATAACCGGCAAGAAACTCAGCAAGGGCTGTTTTTTTCTCCCTGTATTATATACAGAGTCGTCAATTTGAAAAATGACTTCAATATGAGATAACTCATGAAGTCACTTTCACATTTTATTTGAGTGTGTACCTCGGCACTGCTACAGCTAGTATGAGCGTACCGTATCTTCCCTTTTTGTTTTAATCTAAGGTTATACGCACGCTTAAAGGAATACTGACCTATTAGTACTTAAGACATACAGACAAAAAATTATCCTAAAGTCATCTATATTATTCTATCCACATAGCTTCATAAATATCGCTGTCATTAACACCTTACTTTAAAATTAGACACATACCACATACGAGGAGCTCGATGGCACAGGTGGCTAGCGCGTTCGGCTGAGATCTTTGAAGTTAAGCAACTTTCGCAGTGGTCGGTCATTGGATGGGTGACCAAAAATTTACTATCTCGAGCTCCTCCGTGCTTCGGAAGGTACGTTAAGCCGTTGGTCCCGGCTGCATTTGCAGTCGTTAGCACCCAATCCGCACTGGGCCCGCGTGGTGGGTCATGGCCCAAACTCCCTATTCCATCCATAGGGAAGGCCTGTGCCCCAGCAGTGGGGCACAGGCCATTAATAGGCTGATGATGATGATGATGATGACATACCTAGTAAACAAAAAAATGTGCAAACACCTCAATATTGCACATTATTCAACGTTGCACTAAGTACTAATATGTCAGTATTCCTTTAAGCGTGCAATACACCTTTAAAAAAGAGATTGAAAACAATTACTAAGACTTTAAATCTAAAGCAGAAGCGCACGGAACCTTAATAGTGCCCCAGCAGTGGGAACATTAATAGGCTGTGATGCAGATGATAGATAATTGACCGATTACTAACAAATTTTTTTTACAAGACACCAATTAGCCTAGCCCCAAGGTAAGCAGTAAGGCATTGTCCTAATACAACGCGATAACGCGATCATCGCGCGTTTAAACGATGCGACCATCGCGTGATCGCGAACTGGGTGTCCTAATAGAACGCGAATACGGAACGGGTTAGCCCTGCCCCTCTCCCCGCTTCCTATCGACGCGACGCGAACATCGCGCGAACTTCAGTTAGGACACCTATTCATCATTAATAGATTTGATGGCGCGTTCGCGCGAACTAAGATCGCGCGAATGCATCGCGCGATCGCCTATTAGGACACCTATTCTAGATCAATATGTTTGATCGTCGACTCGTACGATGATCGCATCGCTCATTCGCGTTATCGCGTTGTATTAGGACAATGCCTAAGGCTCGTGTTATGGAATACTAGGGTAACGGTTAGAATACATATAATGATACATATATTATAAGTAATTTATATAGAAATACATATTAAACATCCGAGGAGCTCGATGGCGCCAGTGGTTAGCGCGTTCGGCCGCGGTCGTTGAAGTTGAGCAACTTTCGCAGTGGTCGGTCATTGGATGGGTGACCAAAAATTTACTATCTCGAGCTCCTCCGTGCTTCGGAAGGTACGTTAAGCCGTTGGTCCCGGCTGCATCTGCAGTCGTTAGCACCCACCAATTCGCACTGGGCCCGCGTGGTGGGTCATGGCCCAATCTCCCTATTCCATCCATGGGGAAGGCCTGTGCCCCAGCAGTGGGGACATTAATAGGCTGATGATGATGATGATTAAACATCCATGATTGGAGTACAAATGCTCATATTCATCACACAAACATCTGCTCCCACCGGGACTCGAACCTGGCATACCACTCGGCCACGGAGGTCGTACAAGATTAAAAGTTAAACGTGTTCCTAATGCTTCTTCTTATTAATTTGATGACGATTCGCATCCTTTTCAAGCTGCGTCGTCGAATTAATATTTTTTATTTACATGGGGTATTCGCCTAACGGAAATGCTTTCGAAAACGCTAACGCTTACGATTTCATTTTGTCATTTCTAGCAGCCTGAGGTTTTCAAATGCCTCGCGCGAAAAAATACGAAAGCGTTAGCGTTTTCCTCGCATTTCCGTTAGGCGATCGCCCCCAGGTGAGCAAATGACTCTACCCCACCTGATGTTAAGTGGTGATAAAGTTTTATTTAATGAGTGGTGTGCGTTAAAACTTAATAAACAAATAAGATTACTCACAGTCTGTGGTTCAGAAGCCCTGCTCTATGCGTAAACGTTTTATCGCACTCCGTGCACTGCACTCTAGCCTTGTGGGAATCTTTGTGGTATCTGTGTGTGTCCATGGAGCTAGAACAAACGGACGATATCGTCAATGGCATTGGAATTGTATGACAAGACAAAATGTTGACAGAAAACGTTTCACAAAAATATGATAATAATGTTAAAAATTTCACAAAAATATGATAAAAAATGGTTGCCTGTAAAGTCGGTTTTACGGGCGAAGATTTTACGTGACAACGTCTTTTTCTCGGTAGAATATTTATTGATATGAATATAATTAAATTGCACAATAGGAACAAGGAATTGAATGAAAATAAGAATTGCACAAATTTTAACTATAGAAATATATTTTGTTTACTAAAACATTGTACATGTAAACTTAAACTTAACACGAGAGACTCATCGTAACGTTACCGAGCGTTACACTTTTTCATAAGTGACTCCCAGCCGCAACCTAATTTAAGACGTTGTCACGTCAATAATGTCAAACGTTTCACAAAAATATGATAATAATGATAAAAATTTCACAAAAGTATGGTAATAATGATAAACGTTCCAAAAAAATATGATAATAATGATAAAATTTTCACAAAAATATGATAGTAATGATAAACGTTTCACAAAAATATGATAATAAACGTTTACAGAGGAATAAATCACGTTGCCTATGTTTAACAACGATATTAAATATCCTAGATACGCTACGTGCGCTCAAAATGTGTCCCTATCGAGAAGTGCTTGAACACCACTCAAGCACTTCTTGGTTCACAGTCACGCGCGGACCGTTGAAAAGTCAACATGCCGCTGAGCTCCGTGAAAGAATGCGAAAAAAAATACTTATAGTATGTTGTCGTTTCTTTAAGCAGTAATTATAACCAACGCCGCTGTCATTAATTAGAACAAAAGTAATAATCAGGATAAGCTGAACAGCTCTCATCTCGGGTTACCTGGAAATAAGAATCCCATATTCGCGACAGAACATCTTTCACCAAGCAATAAGGCTTTGCATGCAGCTACCAGAATCGAAGCCAGAGAGAAGGAGTATAAATACGTATGGGTACGGTCAGGAAAGATATTCGTCAGAAAGAATGAAGATAGTACTTGTATTCTTATTAGGAATATGGATTCGCTCAACAAACTATAAATACATTTTTTTTTTTATTTTTTTTTTTAAATCAAGTTTTAGTGAACATTTGGTTCACTGGTTTGCTAGTATAATTATAATAGCAATAAACTAAAACTCTTGTGCAATATGATTACTTTTGTTAACAAGGAGGAAATCATGCAAGATGTAACTTTAGAAGTTTCGTATAAGTTTATTTTATATTTTAATAACAATAAATATCATTATAATAAAGACAAATTATTACTCTATCCTCCCTTTTTTCTGGTTTTTAACCCATTGTTCAAAACTGCCCCATGTCGATTCAAATGTGCCCCCATGGGAAGGCAAGCGAACAAATTTGTGTTTAAAAAAAACACACTATTTCTCTTTAACGTTTTCAGCAAAATCAAACATTACATCATTTTTATATTAACAAAGGAGTGAGTAAGTTAAGAAAACTATGCTTTTTCAATTTCTCTTTACAGTTGATTTTTATGAGTCCAAATATGAAAAATGTGCTAATGTGCCTCCCCCTCCCGTAACTATAATCATAATCATAATCAAAATCATTTATTCAGTTTAGGCTGTTACAAGCACTCATGAATGTCTAGAAGCTACGCCATCGGTTCGTAAATCTACGGCGGGAGACCTTGTACTGAGAAGAACCGGCAAGAAACTCAGCAAGGGCTGTTTTTTTCTCCCTGTTTTATTATTACTCTTATTACTCACTTGGATATCTTGCCGCAGACGTCGCATTTGTACTGCTTGAGCGATATCCCGTGTGTAGTGTAATAATGTTGCTGCATCACCTTCATATCGGTCGTTCTCCACTGGCAGACGCTACACTCGTATCTAACACAAAAGATTGCAGGCTTATTGGAAAGAAAGAAAATAATATTTTATTAACCCTTAAAAAATACAACAAGTTAAAAGGAAATATAACTAGAAAAATTTCCACGCGGACCAGGCAGCAGACGGGACTCGAACCCTCGCCCTTCGCAATCCGGGTGAATGCACTGACCAGTTATGCTACCGCGGCCCTCACGGACCGCGTCGAAATTCTTCTAGCCATTCTTAAGCTGCAAGGCAGCGCCATCTCTTCGCATTATAGGTAACCCACAATGTCAAACGAATACTTTTACAAGTATTAAACATTTGAAAAAACATTTGGTCAGTGCATTCGCCCGGATTGCGAAGGGTGCGGGTTCGAGTCCCGTCTGCTGCCTGGTCCACGTGGAATTTTTTCTAGTTATATTTTCCTTAGATTTAAACATCAAGCAGTTACATGCTTTAAAATAATAAAAATTATAATGTTAAAAGAAACTTATACAGTAAGGGCTAACCAGCACGCTGCCTCAGCATTAGCTGATGCGATATTGTGTCGCACTGTGATATTCTGGCAGGGCCTGCTTAGAGTTATATACACACTTTAGTTATGAACAAGAAATAAATAAAAGAAAATAAGTACGAACACATGAACAATTGAACAAGTCAGAACATAAAAGATTCTAAACACATATTAACTTAAAAACAAAGGTTATTGAAACATTCAATCACGCAGTAATATAAAACATAATAATTTGAATGGCTGTATGGACCTTATACCTTTTGATTTCAAAGAAAAAAATATATATTAAAAAAAGTAAAAAGTCAACGAAAATTAAAAAGAAAAATAAAACTTAAAAATTATATGTACTCAGCAATTAGGGATTTGCTACAGTAATTTTATTTAATTTCGTTAAAATTAAATAAAAGAGGCAGACAGGAAAATAATATGATATTTTTGTCATTTCATACATCTCACGGGGTCAAATGCCTTTGATAAAACAAATTTTACTACATATATAAAAAACCTACCTTCTTAAATGCCTCTTATAGTGCGCTGTGAAGGATTCCAGTGATGTTATGATGGTGCTACATATCGGGCAAATGTAATCGCCTCGTCCCTAAAACAATGCAAGCAATAAATTAATCTTTTATCCGGCCTGGCATGTTATTCAGATTAAGATTCAGATTCATTTATTCATTGTTAAAATTGGGTACAATAAGACGGTAGAGTCTGTGCGGAAAGAGAATGGGCGTGGCGAAAAACGGAACTAACATTAAGATTATTATTTGGCAATCAAACCCAGCAATCTGTAAAACGTCAAAGTTTTGTATTGATACGGATTTGTTTGTTGTTGTGATTTCCTGCGGTTTTTTGTATTTAATCATGTCTAAAAGGGGTAAAACCTTACAAATACGGTAGAAAAGCACTACAGCGCTCTCCAATCTAAATCCCATTCTCTTTTCGCACAGACTCTAACATTATGTGTTAAAATACAGATCCAAACAGCTGCCCATTTCGGACGTACAATGTCAATAATTAAAATTATTTTAAAATGTCAAAAGTACAAAATCATAATTTGCATTCAATTTTTATTTCAATTCAATCAATACAAAAATAAAATCATCATCTTATCATCATCAATTAATTAATTAAAAATAAAATAATTAAGATCTACATAAAAAAGTCATAAAATTCCTTAAGGTTAAGCCGCGACAAATGGCTTAACGTGCCTTCACAAGCACGGAGGAGCTCGAGTATTTTTTTTTTAAAATCACCCATCCAATGACCGACCGCTTCGAAAGTTGCTTAACTTTAATGATCGCAGCCCAGCAGCTAAACACTTGCGCCATCGAGCTACTCATATGTGATAAATGTAAGACTAGTAGCCTCCTGTCACTATGTCTGCGTTAATTTACATTTTTTGAAAATCCCACAGATACCTAACACTTTTACGAGCTAAAAAGAATTCTATGTCTTAATCTAGTGAATAAACTATATGCGTACGATGTTATTGACAGACATATCGGTCTACCCTCTGCCGTCGTCTTTTACTGCGCTCGATACCCCAACCACTGATCACATTCTCACTATTCACTCGCATAAAGCACAAAAATTTCAATCCTGAGGATGGGTTTAAATTGTCAAGTGTCTGGAATCCAATGGTTGGTATGTGCAAAAACCGCAAAAATCAAAAAAGTGTCATTCCGCGATTTGATACTGTGAGTATTGTGTGTCGGGAACAGGCGCGAGTGAATAGTGAGAATTTGATCAGTGGTAAGGGTATCAAGCGCAGTAAAAGACGACGGGTAGACTGATATGTCTGCCAATAACATCTACCCGCAATTACTTCGGTTACTCCGTGATCATGGCGCTTGCAACAGTGCCGAAATATCGGAGACTCATAATTTTAAACAAAGAACATGGTAACAATCCCGTTAATAGCTATAATATAATTAATAGTTTAAAAAGGTGGTTATTACAATAGTTATTCACTTTTTATAATATCTTAATGTTATCATATAATTAAAATCATATTGTTTTTTGCAGACGGTTGTAACACAAACACTATATCCACTATGAACGAATTAAAGAATAATAAAATTAAGGTAAAAAAAACCTTTTTAAAAACAAGCTTTTATTCAAATGCGCTAAAAAGAAAAAAAGAAAATTTCAACTAAATTAGTTAAAGATATCTGTTTCTAAATAGATTTTCAAATTTCAGGAGTCCGCCATATTGGATTGAGAGTGACGTCACATTTTTTTCGAGTTACTCTCAGCAAGCCCTTTAATTTGATACCCATATTGTAGGAATGCATTAAAAATGATTGGTCCGCCATTTTGGGTATGCCGCCATATTGGATTTAGAATGACGTCACACTGTTAATCATGCATTGTCATCCGAACTGAACGAGCATATCAAATTTCAGCTTAATCGGTTGAGAGCAAGTGCTTTAAAATTGAGTTGTAAGATTTGACCGTAACAAACATACATAGCAAGTTAAATAAAATCTTGTAATTAAAATAAGACGCCAACCGCGCTCGATGAAATCCCGCCAAAAACTCGAATTTAACATTAGTAGGATAGGATTAGCGACATTAAAAACAAATTAAAAAAAAAATTAATGCACTCAATAGGGTATTTGACAAGTTTTAGAAAACGATCTCACGTGATTGACTAATGTTTATGGAGTTCGTAAAAAGTGGATATTCATCATTCATTTGTGTATTTCAGTAAAAATAACCAAATCAAAAACTCCATTTTCAAGTTGCCGCAAAAACGTTTCTCTGGAGAATATGGCACCTTACTAGTGTGTGACGTCACACGACTGTTATTAAAACATCAAACGATACAATGTAATGTCACTTTAACCGGAAGTTTACTTGCGGGTGACGTCATTTTAGGCTCCGCCAATCCCAAGCGTTTTGGGTCACGTGACAATAGATAAGAAAACTATTACCTTTTTCGTTAGTTTTTAGTAAAATTATGATATTTTTTTTTTGTAAAAATAGTAAAAACCCACTTGGGTTTCAATATTCATTCAAAACACAGATGCTAACAATTGGCACTTTATTTTTAAGACTGTCAAATACCCTATTTGCCATTGCTTAAATTTAAGTTAAAAAGCTGGTTACTAAATAATGTCTTTTATAGTCTTGATGAATATTACTAACTAGTAAAACTAAATATAATTTACGCTCTAAAATGTATTTTTGTATTGAACACAGTTTTAATTTATAAATTTCACCATTGCATACCCGTTGTGGGCACACTGTTGTGACTTTGTTTATAATATTGTAATTCCAACTGCAAAATTGTACACAGTTTTTAAGCAATAAAAGTTATTAGTATTATTATTATTCATTATACAGGCAGTCCTCGACTTACCTCGTTTCGATTTACGTCGTTTCAAGTTACGTCGAACAATGTTTTGACACTATTCCTCAAGCATACGTCAAATGTTTCGATGACTATCAGTAAATGAGCTTTGCCTGCTCACGTGTTCCCTCCTTCTTAGAACCTGGGATCCTTTAAAAGAGGCGTGAAGAAGCAACATGCAGGTCGGCAAGGTGAGGATGGCTGGTGTGGCAGGTAGAACTGCTGTACCAGCTATCTTCGCGTCTGTACTTCACCATCACATAACATCAGGTGGGGCGGAGTCATTTGTCGGACCTATCTATAAAAAAAACGGAATAGGAGAATTCACTTGTTGCGAGGTCAGGAGTTTTACATGTAAACATAATCATATGAAAATATATGTCTCGACTTACGTCGTTTCGATTTACGTCGCGTATTTCGAGAACCTAACATGCCGTAAGTACGAGGACTGCCTGTATTGAAAAAAAAAGGCAAGTTTACAAACTTACCGGCGAATGTTTTGCGGTCACGTGAGCTTTATGAGAGTTCTTGTAGTTGAATCCTATCAAGCACGTATCACACTTGTAAGCGGCGTTAATATAGCTGTCCCTTTTCGCGTCCTTGTCTCTCTCCGACAACATCTCCTCGTAAGATAGGTCTATCACAATTATGCGCTGGTCGTCGATTTTTCTACGCCTCGTGCTCTGTTGTGGAAAACCTTGTATTAAATAGATGAACATAATATGTGTTTAAATAAAACTAGTTTTTACGGGTTAATGCACGAAACTTTATTTATTTATTGACGTTTCGTAGCCTTTACAGGCTTCGTCGGCAGAATAAAACTTTTATTTAATTTGTCGAGCTACCTTCGAAAGACTTTTATTGAGCGTTTGGTTATTTCATTGTTCGATTTTTAAGTTTTATTGTCTATGTATGAATTTATTATTTAATTTACTTAATAAAGTATTTTATTTAAAATTCTTTTTTGTAATTTTGAGTTTATTTATTTGACCCTAACTACCGTAAACTACCACTGGTTCCAAAATTGGGAGACCTTTCTGAGAAGAACCGGCGAAACAAACTCAAGAGAGGCTAGTTCTTTTTGTTTGCATAATTTAACATAAGAAGGAGATAGAAAACCTCTCTTGAGTTTGTTTCGCCGGTTCTTCTCAGAAAGGTCTCCCAAGTTTGGAACCGGTGGTAGTTTACGGTAGTTAGGGTCAAATAAATAAACTCAAAATTACAAAAAAGAATTTTAAATAAAATACTTTATTAAGTTAATTAAATAATAAATTCATACATAGACAATAAAACTTAAAAATCGAACAATGAAATAACCAAACGCTCAATAAAAGTCTTTCGAAGGTAGCTCGACAAATTAAATAAAAGTTTTCCAAACGTCCGTCTAAGAATGGCTTCTCTAGCATAGTTGGTATGGCAACTCGAAACAAAAAAGGTATCTTTTTTTTTTTTTTTTTTTTTTTTTTTTTTATAGTTAGGTCCGACAAATGACTCCACCCCACCTGATGTTAAGTGAAGGTGAAGTCCAGACGCGAAGATAGCTGATACAGCAGTTCTACCTGCCACACCAGCCATCCTCACCCTGCCGGCCTGCATGCTGCTTCTTCACGCCTCTTTTAAAGGATCCCAGGTTGTAAGAGGGAGGGAACACGTGAGCGGGCAGAGCATTCCATTTACGGATAGTGCGACAAAGAAATGAGTCACCAAATTTCTTTGTACGCGTTGGAATTGTAGCCACAGTAAAACGGTGACAACGTAGGCCAGCGCGCGTGGTCCTCTGAAGGAAAGGGGAAGGTGGGATAAGAGAGAATAACTCCTCAGAACACTCGCCGTGGTACAAACGATAGAACGCGCTTAGTGACGCCACGTCACGGCGTAATTGAAGAGGCTCAAGGTGTTTAGTCACCTCCTCATCGCCTATGATGCGGATCGCGCGCCGCTGTAACCTATCCAAAGCATCGAGCAAGTACTTGGCGGAGCCATCCCAGAGGTGCGAGCAATATTCCACGCAGGACCGCACTTGCGTTTTGTACAACAAGCACAGTTGATCGGGCGTGAAAAAACGCCGCACCTTGTTCAGGACTCCGAGTTTGCGTGAAGCTGTTTTGATCACGGTTTCGATGTAGTCCTTTGGATTCAGGTCTGAGCGAACTTCCATACCGAGCATGGAAATGTTGCTCTGCAGCGGTAGTGTTGTGCCCTGAAGAGATGGAAGGGGAAGGAATGGCGATGTTTTTGCC